GCCCTTTAAAGCATGGCCATGTGGTAGGTGGGGGTGTGGGTGTTACTGTACTAATCAAGCCCCTAATGCTCTTAGCAGTAATACATTAATGCCTTAACATATGAGGCAGCTCTCTCTTCTACAGATTTTGGGTACAAGGAGATTAGTAGGAAAGGTCTATCATCTCTTGCCCTTGTGTCCTGCATCACACTCATCACTCTGCATTGTACAGTGTGTTGCAAGGGACAGCAACTTGAGGGTGAAAAGATACACTCCTGAAAACCCTTACTATTACTCACTGCAGGTGTAACTGCTGTATGGCCAGAGACCTTCAGCACAGCCCAACAAGGCTTGTGGTAATTCAGCTGCTTTCCAATGACAACCTGAGATCCTAATCTCAGATCCCACCACAAGTGTGGTAAAGGCAGGGATTTTAGACCAGGCAGCGATATCACCCTGTGCATCTGCTGGCTGCGTCACAGCACAGAGATGAATCTGCAAAGATATGTGAGAGGCTGTGCTCCAGCTGAGATAAGCACAGCAAAGCCTGGCAAATCTCAGCTCTCTTTTTGGTTCACTCAGAAGAGCTGCTGATGGTGGAGAGTCCTGCTCAGACCTCCCACTGTGGCCACAGCCCCAAGTGGGAGCCTGGAGTTGGTTTTAGAGAGGGGCCCAGGAACATGATCAAGCATTTCACAGCCGTCTGTTATCTCTGTAACAGACCAAAGCAAGGTAATCTTGCTGTCCTGCCAATCAAACATCTCCAAGGCGACTGGCATTTTGAGACCTGTGGTTTTGTCCTCCCCACCATCTGCCTTGGTGTGTCTATTCTTTTTGGTGCTGTTGTGCAGCAGAAGACAGCACAGCCATTGCATGTGGCCTGGCTCAGAAAAGCCAGCTAGCTGGGGTCAGAAAGGTACTTCCCACCTTAGAGATAGCAACACCTTTGTAATAAACTTCATTCAATGTGCTTGACTTTACCTGTACCCTTGTGGCAGTTTATTTTTTCTGTCCCTATCCTGAATAAATAACATGACAAACCCTTCAGATGCTGAAGGCTAAATGCCTTCATCATCCTTAACAGCAAACCCAGAGGCATTTTATGAAAGTGAGCAACTTCTTTTTCACTCATACTGACTCTGATAGTTTAATGCAGGCATACAGCTGCATCTCAGTACAGAATTGGGTTTCCTAGTTTGTTTTGATTTCAGGATGTTTCTATTTTCATAAAACTCAGGATTGAATGGAAAGCTTGCTCAAGTGACCCTGTAATGTTGAAATAGGATATGTGTTTGGTGAGGAGGGACAGGAGATACGGCAAAGAAATAAATTTAGTCTCAATGGGAAAGAGGGATCTGCTGCAGCTAGGAGAGAAGACTGCCTGCAGCTGTATGTCCTAAGTTGCTAGACCCTCCAGAGGTCTTCATATAGTCTTGGTAACACCTAGGCTTCCTGGTTTTCCTAGAAGTTGCTAATCTACAGTTGGGATCATCTGAGCAAACCAGTCCTTAAGTACAGTCTGTCTAAAATTATGCAATATTGACATATCACCATACATACAGGGGCTGCAATGGGCATTATTAGTTCTGGGAATTATTTAGATAGAGAGCAGTTACTGACAACCAAACCAAACAGGGAGGTCTGTGCTGATTCTTCTCTGCTGTGCAAGCTGGGCAGCACAATTGCCCCTGATGAACTCTGGGAAGCCAGAACAGAGATGCTAGACTGATAGAATCACAGGATGGTTTGGGTTGGAAGGGACCTTAAAGCTCATCCAGTTCCAACCCCTGCCACAGGCAGGGACACCTTCCACTAGACCAGGTTGCTCCAAGTCCCCTCCAACCTGGCCTTGAACACTGCCAGCGATGGGGCAGCCACAGCTTCTCTGGGCAACCTGTGCCAGGGCCTCACCACCCTCACAGGGAAGAACTTCTGCCTAAGATCTCATCTCAATTTCCCCTCTGTCAGGTTAAAGCCATTTCCCCCTTGTCCTGTCCCTACAGGCCCTTGTCAAAAGCCCCTCTCCAGCTTTCTTTTTAGCCCCTTTAGGCACCGGAAGCTGCTCTGTCTTCCTGGAGCCTTCTCTTCTCAACAGCCCCAGCTCTCTCACCCTGTTTTCACAGGATAAGTGCTTTCACTATATGTAAAATAATTCTGTATAGAGAAAATGAGACCCTATTCAGCAGAAGACAACCTAGGAGGAAGCCAAGCACCTCCTGGAAATGAAGTGTTGGCTTATATCCCTTTGTGAACAGGGAGCAAATGATTTGCCTAAAGTAACACCAACTGTACTGTATTCACTTTTTCTGAGCGAGACTTAACACTCTTGGCAATTTCAGCTGTTAAGCATAAACCCTTTAAAGAATGGATTAGAAACAGGTGCTAATAATACCCAAATGTAAGGAAGACTTTATGGGAGTCAAATGGCTTAGGTTCTATCCGTCAATCAGCTAATTTCTCCCATCTTCTGCTATATTACTCATTGAGAGGTAGGAGATGTTTATTAATGGGGGGAAGGGGAATTAGAAAAGGAGATCCCTGGCTTTGTTGCATAACCTGCTGCTGTGTCACAGCTCAACCTGAAAGTTCATCTGCTTTTCTCTCACTCTCAAGGCAGATGAGCATCACAGCTTCTTCTTGTGCTCAAGACCTTATAGAACTCTATTTGGAGAGGAAATAGGGTTAGGATAGGCACTGGGGTGTGGAGCTGGAACCTTCAATGCGATTTTTAACATACCAAAGAGGCTTGAATCTGGGTTAATAGATTTCCACCCTGGGTGTTTTCTCTCCCCTGTAGATTTGACTAAGGTTTAGCCCTGAATTTGAGAAACGTTCCCACCAGGAGTTTTCTCAAACCTAACACATTTTCCAAAATGCCTTTCTCCCCCTGCATTCTCCCTTAACACTTAATAAAAAACTCCTCTTCCACCTCTGCAGGTGAGTCTATTTTCATTAATGCCTTGAAGTTTCATGGACATTTATGGGTAAAAAAGGCCAGGGAGGCTGCCAAAATACAATTAATAATAGTAATTAATTATTAAGACCGAGGATTCTCAGAGGAGAAAAGTGCTGGAAATCCCACTCTGAGCAACTGTATACATAATCTTTTTGAAAAATAAGAAACCAACCCAAAAATCAACAACTGCAGCATAAGGTCAACCTGATCATGTGTGGCTTTAACTTATGAAGCCATTGCAGAGGTCAAAGATGGGGAGATTCCCCTCCTTCTGATGATAAACAGCAATCAATCCCTCTAGAGATTTAACATGACACCTGCCTGAAGTTACAGCCAGCAACATGTGGAGTCCTCACATGTCAGAAGGCAGCCCGGTTTTCAGTTATGGTTTGAACAGTACTGCAAATGGGGTTTAACTTTGGGATGGGACAGGGTGAGGAAAGAAACAGGAGACACACAAAAAGGAAAATATTTTTATACCACTGTTCTTGCGACCTTGTCTTTTGGAGCATTGAGGAAATCATACAGAATCAGATTCTGCTCTGGTTACAACTATTGAATAATACATTGCAAACAGCCTCTGGTCTGTCATCAGTGAGGCAATAGTCACTTGCAAGGGTAATTCAGAGCTGGTTGAGGTCTCTCCCTTGATGCAGAACCAAGAGAAGCATCTGAAGGTAGGTAGTAATTGCAGGGGCTACTTATTTATTTACCCCATAGTTCAAGGGATGTAAGGATGAGATTCACTGTATAAACTCAGGAATTGAACTTTATGTATGTGTTTTGCATATGATGTTGTTCTTCCTAGATGAGACATGGTCAATAGAGTCTGAAAAATGGAGCAGCTCATTCTAAAGCAGAGGGCCCAGTGGTGTCTGTCTTTCACTATTTGCAATTAAGATTCCATGTCACCATGAAAAGAATAGTAGCAGCTATTTGATAATAGTTATTCAGTACTGCAGTTAGCTAGTGTATTTACTTTAGGATATGGAAAATTTTTGGAAAGTGCTTATCCACTTATATGATGGACACTCATATCGTTTAACTCTAGATGCCTGTGAGGCAGAGCTCAGTATCTGAGCTAACATCTCAGACTTCATTCAGTCCCTGGGGAGAATGAGGTACTCTTGAGGGTGAGTCAGATGACTGTGTTTTTACATCAGCTATAGCATGTGAGGAATTGTACCCCAAGGAGCATAGGAGTGTAGACTGCTATCTCACAGGGTCTATAGTGTTATCACCTATATTCTGTCAGGTATCTTCCACCCATCCTGTGTCCCCGTACAAGGCTGAGGTGATACTCAGCCATGCACCATCATCTCCGAATGCTTTTGGTCCAACCCAAAGAAAGCTGAGATGAGGAAGCGGGGATGGAGCCTCAGTGTAATCTGGAGAGGTTTGGGGTGAATCATTAACAGGGACTGCAGAGCACATCATCTTTACAGGCCAGGCAATGTTTTTGTGTAAGAAAACGTAAGAGCCTTTTGGCAAGGAAGCATTGAAGGTATTGCGCTGGGCATTAGGACATTTGGGGTCTGCACCTGGCCTGACTGTTGAAGAAATACCAGAATTTGAAGATGCCTCTTTTCCCACTGGTGAATGAGGAATAATGTTTCCCTTTGCCTCTCTGGGGTTGTGATTTCTGTCATTTATAGCACCCTTTAACATCCCTTGATGGAATATATGAAACTTTCTCCTAGAGTATGAGTTTTTCTTTTTGCCATATTTTTTGTTTTTTTTTTTTCAGGCTGGGAGGGACTTTTGCAATCATTTAATCTGATTTATTTACTGCCTGTCACAGGCTGGAGACTTAAAACATGGGCTTTGTGATCAGAAAAGGCAAGAAAGGCTTTGACACCAGGAGCCAGCCTTTCAAGCTCGTGACTTAAATACAGGTGTACTATGTACAGAAGGAGACACTGTGTCAGGCTTGTCAGTCAGCAGAGAGCACAATCCACACAGTGATGCAAATTTCTCAGTCATCAAATCTGTATGAGGAACAAAGAAAAAAAGATCTTTAAAACCTCATTAATTAATTATCGTCACTGCAGATGGTGCCCAGCTGTAAGCTGCTCATCTTAATCCCATTCCAAGTGGCTACCCTGGGCAGAGTCCATTTGCTTCTTTTATCTGGAGAAGTGGTTGAGCATGGGAGCATACGATGGTGGGGAAAGCTGCAAGAAAAGGAGAGATGTAAAGATTTAGGAAGGAAGGTGGGGGCCATTCCCCTGTGCAGACAGTGAGCAGAAGAGTTCTTTCATTTGCAGGGCTGGGAAAAGTAAAGAAGGGAAATTTCTCTGCCTGGCTTTTGATCTCAGCTGTGAGTGCTCAAGGGAGGCCTGACCTGGGATGGATTACTGACTTGAGCAAAGCTATGTACCTGGATTACCTTTGCTGTGGTGAGTTGAATTTGCTCTCTGTCCCTCTAGTCACCTGTGAATCAATACAGGCAAAGAGCAACAAGGATGATACTGGAGCAATGGAGAGCAGGTAGCAGCAGGAGGTCTGATGTTAGTATCGATTGCCTTTTTTTCAGTAGCTCTGTTTTCCTTTTTTTACATCTTTGTTTCTCACTAGGAAAGTCAGATGTGGCTGATGTTCAGGTGGGAGAAATAAGTGTCCATGGAAATAAGAGTTATACTTATGGAGGAAGGTTGCTGATGTGATCAAGCCATAGCTGTTGGCTATATTTTGTTCTGTTGAGCAATGCAGATGTTATCCCTGGAAGATTTCTAAAAGCTGCTTTTGTGTTTTCCTGGGAGGCTTTGCAGTGGGCTCTGGGTCCATCCTTACTGAGGAATTTCCCAAACGACCAGGTCTCTTTTCTGACCAGAGCTAGATCCCAGTTTTCCTAATACAACTCCCTGCGGCCACTTAAAGTCTCTGCTGTTATTTAGGGTCAGCAGAAGATTGAGTGGATCAAGCCCATAAGAAGATATAGTCTCCTGTGTACTGGGAGGGGACTCATGGCCATTTTAAGCAGCCCTGCCCAGGCAGGGAGCCAGGCTGGATGCAGTTTTGCACCAACACTGGTCCCTGATGGAAGAGATTGTGACTTTCACCACAATCCCAGTTGGAGTCTAAGCCAGAATTTCTGCTCTGATTTTCTCTGTAAGATCTAAATTGCCCACAAGGCCTTCTCTTTTCTGTTTGCTTGCTTGTTTGGTTGGGGTTTTTTTCTTTCTTTCTTTTGTTGGCAACCCCTCAGTCTCTCAAAGTACGGGCTAAAAGGGGGGGGCTTGTGTTTTTTGGCAACTACAAGCCTCAGGTCATTTACCCTTGACAGCTTTTCAGTGAATTACTATTAAAAAAATGAATTCATTTCTTGGGCTGAAGAGAGGTTCATATAGTTGATGACATAAGGGTCATTTAGATCATCAAATCTGACCCCTTGAATAGTACGGAGCACTGAATTTCATCCTGTAGCTCCTGGCTTTTCATTTATGGTCTTTATACATCATGCTAAGGAGCTCATAATATCAGCATGGCATATCTGCAGGGACTGAATTAACATGGAAGGGAAAAAGAGTACTGATATAAATTTACCAGGAGGTAAAGCATAGGTCAAGATAGGTCAGCAGCTTATCGACCCTTTGCAGAGAAGAGCCTGGCAATACCCAGTTGCCTCTTGCTCAAAAACTACCTGGTTTCAGCTGTCTGTTATGGAAAAATATTGCCTGGTGGCCAAAATCCTGATCTGGGAATTTCTGCATCTCTGTGACTCCTCTAGTAGGGTCAGGACCAAGATTTGTATTTGCTTTGAACATCTGAAAACATAGTAGGTTCTTGGTCTGTCTATAATCACTATGAATTATTGGTTCTGATGGTGGTCAATCGGTATTTATCTTCTACTCCCCCAAATTGCTCCTTACAGCAACTGAGGGCACAAAATAATGTTTCTATCTCTTGTTGGTTTTTTGCTTGTTTATTCCTTTTCCCACCCCTTACTTCTCCCTTTGCTCGCTTTTGAAGCTTTAATAGTTGTTGGCTTTTTTTTCTTTCCCCCTGTTCTTTAATTAATCTCCTTGTAAATCATGGCTGTATTATTATCGTTCCTTGGAGAAACATGGATCATTGGCCAGTAGGTGAATTTTATCCTTGTCAATTGTTGTTGCCATTAATTTGTTACTTTTAATCCATTAATGTAAAGGACAGACTAACTGCACATTCAAGTGTAAAATGCTGCTTATAGAGCCAAAGTGGTTTGAACATTTTAAAATATCAGTTTGGAGAGATAAACAATGGATCTCTTCATCTCTTCCCTTCACAGTGCAATTTTTTCCCCAAATTCTACTCTGCCTTGAATACAGAAACCAGTTTTCTTTTTCCCCAGTCTGGTTTTAAATAACCTGTGAGAAGGGGTTTCTACTACTTTATTTGAAGGTTATTCCCATCTAAATGACCTCACTTGCCCTTTTTTCACTTTTGTCCAATCACATCTATTTATAACCTCTTGCTCTACATTAAGTGATTCCTCCATATGCCTGGGAAGAATTAGTGCCTTAACATTTGACCATGCAGTGAATGAAAAACACAGGAGAAAATCAAGACCCAGGTGCAGCTGGTGGCAGAAATGTTGTTTCAGAAAAGACTTGATCTCATCTATTTGTGTAGTGCCTGCACTCATCAGCTTCCCCTCATCCTAACTTATCTCCTGGCTTGCAGCACACAGTCATTCCTCATTGTTCGCTTACAAGGGCTGAGAGCCCTTAACAATGGAGATCCTACTTCTTCCTTGGCTCTCAGCTTCCTCCTGACTGCCAGCTCTTTTATTTTCCCTGAGGCATTACTTGGCCAAGCAATGTATATTTAGTGCTTTCAATATTATTTTTTCCTCCTTCCTTCATCTAACCAACCCTCAATCATTTTGTTGCTTTTCTCTAAATTGTCAGCATCCTGCAGGCTTGTGGCTGTCCAATGTTACCCTCAGTCTTCCTCCTGTTGCAGGGCATGGAAGCTTGTTGCCTTATTTTCTTAGGTGTTTTCACTGATGCTGGTGCCCTGGATTGCGTGAGAAGAGTCCTGTGTGTACTTACAGGCTTAGCAGCAGAGGTGGGCTACCGAGATGGTGATGCAAGTCCTTCCATGCTTGTTTCAGAGCAGCTCACCCAGAAACAATGCACTTTTGTCAGAAATTGGCTTGAACTCTTTATCTTTTTTTTTTTTTTGCTTTAACAAGGTAGCATAAATGACTGTATCAGGACCAAAGAGACAAAGGTGGTGTTCCTAGTGTTGTTCCTGTAGCCAAATAAGCGTTAGTAGGCAAGTCACTTGACCTGTCAGTACCTCAGTTTCCCGTCTGACCATTATCTGTCCATTCTGTCTGATGCTCTGGGAACTGTGAATATCACTTATGTTTGTGAAAATACAACTGAAATGGAGAGAAAGCCTAAGCACTGCAGGCTTCCAAAGCTGCCTGCTTTCTACCCACTCTCTGTGATGGGCTCTGGTTGGGTCTCAGCATCCACAATGTGCTTGGAAGCACCCAAGCTTGGATATCTGTCGATGGCACATGCAGGATCACCTGGATGTTGCCCAGCCAGGAGTTCGGCTTGCATTACAGCATCCAGAGAGCAGAGGTGACCTCTTCGTGCACATGTGCCTAATCACAGTGTGGTGGTGGGCAAGTCTGTTCCTGACAGCAAGCCTGGGCCAGTGCTGGCTGGTGATGTGGATGTCCCAACATGTTCATTTACTGTCAGCCATCTCAGCAGCAGCTTTGGCACACTGCTGGAATCCAAAGGAGCAATAAATCTGTAGAAACGATATCTGCTTATTGGACAGATCTGATGCACGTCCCAGAGCCACGTTGTGCCAGCTCTACTCTTTAAATACTGTCAGTTCAATAAATAATAACAGTTTGGCGGAACATTTTTTGTCCTACTTGAGGGAACACTCACTGCTGCGTCAAAGTTTATACAAACTGCTCCCAGGTTTCTTTTGCTTTGTGACTTGGTTTCTTCATATTTCATTCTTTCTGCATTAGCTGACCAGCCTTAGTCACCTAGTGCCATCTTTGTTTCTTGACTACACAAGCCAGTCTCCTGTCACTGAGATTTGGCCATGAGGTCTGTCAGGGAGGTAGTTCTGACTTGCCCTCCATGAACAGCTCAGCAAGCCCATAAGCACATTTGGCAGATGCCCTAGCTGTTAAAGTTCAGGCAAAGTGAACACTGAAGTCAGAAAAATGTGGCACTTGGCCAACCCATGGGAAAAAAAATCGGCACCAATAATCTTCAGTGTATTTTGCAGTACTTTTCCAGAGCTACTCTCTTCTTGTTGCGGATTCATTTACCCATTTCAGCACATTACCACTTTAAGCTTCCTCAAAGGCATGCAAAGCGTCTTAATAAATAATCTTGCTATTTCTTATCACATCTGCCTCTGAGTGAGAGACAGGACAAATGGGGCAGCGTTCACATCTGAATCCAGGTCAGGATCAGGTGGAGCCTGGGAAATGCTGATGATGAAGGGCCAAGTAATGACTGTGGTGTTATATAAGCTTTGCCTTAACTCCTACAGGCTTTAGAAGATGTGTGTTAGGAAGGGTATGAGGCCAAGGAAGAGAGGTGCACAGCAACAAGGAGGACTACATGTCTCGCTGTGCTTTCACATAACATCTTTTGCCATAGTACCTGAACACTTTCTGCTCCACGAATTGTGAGGTGTGAGCTGAACTGGTCAGCCTTGGCAATCTTCAGGTGAGGCAGGAGCAAGAAAGGAGAAGGTGAAGGTCTTGAGAGCTTTTGAGGGTGGCGAGGGCAAATATGAAAATGAGGAAAAATAGAGGGAAACCACCAGATTGCAGAAAGGAAGAATCTTATAGGCAGGATGTTGAATAGACCTTGCATAATACTGTGAAAGCTGGTAAAGTTTATAAAGGTTGAGATAAGCTAGCTCAGAAACAGATAGGTGTTTTAGCAGGAAAGGATGGCAGGAGATTTTGGAGAGGTTACAGCCATGAAGCCGTAAGATTTGGCGACAATCCAGAAGAGAGTATCTGGTGTGAAGGAGATGTAGGTGTTGAACACGACACAGAGATTGTGAATTTGAGTGTTATACAAATGCGGGTTATTCACAACAAGGAGGGAAGGGGGAAGGAAAGGTTTGTGATGAAAGATAAGGAGGTGTTTTTTTAACTGCGATAAAAGTGTTGGCAGATCCACATCTGGGATATAGCTCAGAGGAAGGGTAGGGGAGACCCAGCAGTTTAAAGCTACACCTGCTACCATGAATGTGGAGAGTGATGTCACCAGATGACATCACAGGGAACATGATGTCAACAGGAGAGAGCATAAGGATGAGGAAGAATTACCAGGGCATTCAGAAAGGGTGTGGAGGGAGGCAGCAGATGTTGGCCAGTCTCTTACAAAGCAGACCACCTTTCTTGTTAATCCGT